CTGAAGACGAAAGACTGTGTCTGGAGAGAAAACACACAATAACTCCTGTTCAGTTAAATAGTGAATTACATTTTAATGAAATATTTATTAATTAAATTTATATCATTATCAGTCATCCAGTTTTATTTTAAACACACATCTCAGTTCTTTCTGACAATTACATTTATAACTTAATGAATTAAAATCAAAACCGTGTTGGAGACACAAATGTAATATTATAAATAACTAAACTACTGATTTAAAGATTGACTTACCTAGTAGCTTCAGTACCAAATTTATCTTGGTTGAAAATTGCCTGCGATTCCAAAATAAGTGAACAGTGCGTGTACATGTGTATTCTCCCTCATCTTCAGCTCTCAGTTTGTCCAGACGGAGGGAGAAGTTTCCATCTTTAATGTGCTCAGTAAAGAAATGAGATCTGTTCTGATAATCTTCATCTTGTTCTTCTGCTCGACTCTCACCGTCCTGATACAGATGAACCAGATCCTTTAAGTCTTTTTTTCTCCATTCCACCCTCAGACCCTCCATTCTAGAGGGTTTATCTTCATAACAGGGCAAAACCACTGAAGCTCCCGGAGGAACAGGTGTGTGATGAGAAGGTTTCACAATGAATCCTGAAAATAAAAACGTTTTATTTGAAATGTTAAGAGAGAACTGAGGTCTCGTCCTCACACAGATGCTCATCGTGATGTAGATTAAGTCTCCTGAATCTGATTGACAAGCTTTGCACAACTAAGTAAGGGCACAGGTGATGTTTTATCAGTTTTATTTTTTCTAACCTGTACTTCTTTAATACCAGGGGTCTTCAATGTTTTTCAGGGCAAGGACCCCTTATGTGACAGAGACATGGTTTAGGGACCCCCTGAGACAAAAAGTGTCAAGCAGAGCTACATATTAAGCATATAGCCTTCGATATTAATAGAAACTAACCATAATTTATTATGATTAAGAATAAATATCATGTTACATGTATATTATGTTAAGACAGTAGATCAGAACTATGCACATTATTGTTGTGGCACATTACTTGTTAAAATGCATCATAAAAAAACATGGAGATAAAAATCACAATTCATTAGTTGTTTGCGGTTGTTGTAAAATATTTTAATGGATTTGCAGAGTCCTACATTATAATTTTACTAGTCAGATGGGCATTTCCAGTTGCCTGAACTTTAGCTTCAAGTTTACTAAAACTTAACATTTTAATTGTATTGTGAGAGATGGACAATTAAGAATCAAATTACTGAGTGAGGGTTTTCTAGTAAAGTGCAGATATAATGTGTAAGCAAGGGCTCCACAATGACAAGAATAGCAATGTACAGTGAGGCATCCACGATTATTTACAAGGCATTACTTTTACAAAATAAAAAATTGGAATGGAATTTAAAAATATATTGATTTGAATATTTGTCTAGTAATCTATTAGTCTGCATTTACATTGCGCTTATCTATTGCGACATGCCATATTTTTGTCCCGTGCTAGCATCACAATATCAATTGCAGATTCAAAGTGAATCACGCATGTATACGTAGATATAATTTCCAAAACTTTGCAGCTTGTAATTGACCATCGGTCCTCTTAGCAGCAAGAAAAACAATACTTTTATTCAACGGATTATAACTGTATAGCCTCCAAAGGGCGAAAGACCGCTCACTTCACAATCACTAAAAAGCTCTCTCATCTCAGTTCGCGATCTCACAACGTTCCATTAAAATAAATAAAGTTATCTACACTCTAACTTGTTAATCTCATCGTGTCGTTGTTTGTTAATGAGAGCAGATTCGCGAGAGCGAGCATAATTCAGCACTGAATAAAAACTCCGGCGTTGAGTGGATTCTAATCTAAACACCTCTGATTGGCCATTGCGTTCAAGAGCTCAACAAACATGTCTGTGATTGGCTACATTTCTCACCGCTGCAAAAACACGCTGTAAATAGGAACATTTCACGTTCTCGGAGCTCAAACTCAAAAACGCAATGGAGCGTTTGCTAAATCAGTTTCGCCAATAATATTATATAACTGACTATAGTAAACAGTCATTATAGTAGTTGGCAAAATAATTCAAGTAAAGCGAAAGGGCATTTCTGTCTTGCATTATGTTGTGCACAGTGCACTAATTAGATGTAGACTCTGTTAAATGATAAAACAAATTGTCAGTATAATTAATCATTAATTAAACAGGCTGCTGACTCAACTCATAGATATCTGGTGAAATCCCCGAACTACAAATGAACAGACTGAGTTCAGACTTTGTGCTGAGAATAGATGTGGTTCTCAGAGGCCAATCAAAAGCACAATAATTCCTTCCACAAATCTGGATCTTTTTTACAGTATCTGCTTATTATAGCTTTTATATATTTTATTACATTTATTGTTTTTCCATAGACACTCACATTTACAAACCCAGCACAGCCGATAAAGCATAGCTATAAATACATGTTCAGATGTAGCTGGTGCTCCTTCAAAATTAATATTCTTTTTCTATATAATTAATAATATATGACCAGCCCAGGCAATTACACATTGATCACTTAAATGCATCAAACTAATGTAATAAAAAATCTGTAAATACTATTTTTATACTAACTATACTTCTTAATTGAAATCATATACTGATCATGGCAACACCAGACACACTTACCCAGTTTCAGCTCTGCATCAGCTGAAAACACACAATCCTGGTCCCTGAAAACTCTACATCTATAAACCCCTTCATCTCCAGCTCTCAGCTTTTTCAGACGGAGGGAGAAGTTTCCATCTTTAATCTTCTTCTTTAAGAAATGAGCTCTTTTGTGATAATCCTGGTGCTGCTCTTCAGCTCGACTCTTGCCATCTTCATACAGATGAACCAGAGTCTCTGAGTCTGCTCTTCTCCACTCCACCTTCAGACTGTTCTCTAACAAGCTTTTGTCCACCTGACAGGAGAAATCCACTGAACCTCCCAGAGGAACAACATCACCAGTCATAAGGAACTCTATAAAGGAATAGAAACATGTTTTAATGTGGAAAAACTGTTAGTACAAAATGTAAAAAACACCACACTTGCATACCAGCTAGTCGATCATTCAAAACTTGCGATTAGTTAATGATCTATTAATTATATATTTATATATTATTTTATTTATTTCATTATTATGTAGCTCAATATCAAAAATGGAACAAAAAATATCATTTTTCAGTTTTATAGTTTTCAGCATTCGATAGTAACCAATCCAAGATATGCTTCAAATTGCTCTTAGAGGTGCTGAATGAAAATGAAAAAAAAAAAAGGTGAAAAAGTGTTTGCACTAATATAGATTCAGATTAATAACTACATATTCAGGATTACAAATATATTCAGATTTCATATAATTATTTCTTGTTTGGAAATAAATGCAAATGTTCACACATACGTGCACACACACACACACACACACTTTTTCAGTTTTATAGTTTTCAGCATTCGATAGTAACCAATCCAAGATATGCTTCAAATTGCTCTTAGAGGTGCTGAATGAAAATGAAAAAAAAAAAAGGTGAAAAAGTGTTTGCACTAATATAGATTCAGATTAATAACTACATATTCAGGATTACAAATATATTCAGATTTCATATAATTATTTCTTGTTTGGAAATAAATGCAAATGTTCACACATACGTGCACACACACACACACACACACACACACACACACATTTTGAACATATATGGTAATCAGTTGTGAATAGTGTGACAATTCGCCAACAGTGTAACACGTATTGACTATCTTGAGTTATCCTGCCTCTAAAACACTAAATAATCAAACCAGTACTGTACTGCTGGCTATTAAGGCTCGAGTTTGATTTGTTTTTATCTGTTCACTTACTCAGAGCCAGTTTTGTCTTGGCTGAAAACACACATCTCTGGCCACTGTGAACTGTACATGTGTATTCTCCAGCATCTTCAGCTCTCAGATCGTCCAGACGGAGGGAGAAGTTTCCATGTTTAATGTGCTCAGTAAAGAAATGAGCTCTTTTCTGATAATCCTGCTGCTCTTCATCTGCTCGACTCTCACCATCTGGATACTGATGAACTAAAGTCTCTGAGTTTCTCGTTGTTCTTCTCCACTCCACCTTCAGATCTTCAGTTAGTAAGTGTGGAGGAACATGACAGGGCAAAACCACCCAACCTCCCAGACCGAAAAACTGGTTTAAAGTATTCTGCACAATGAAACCTGAAAATAAAGACATTTCATTTCAAATGTGAGATAAATGTTGAGGCAAAATAACCCACTATCGGCCTCTGTCTCGACTGTTTAATCACACTAAATACAGGTGCAAACGGAGCCAGTTTTTTGTGACCAGATTATTGGGAGATGATCAGAAACACTAATGGTTTGTTCACACTGACAGTGATTAAATCACTGGACGTCCCAGAGTCTGGTGGATCACGATCCACTCTCCCATTGCTAGTCAACACATTTAGTTTCTACTAATTTGCATAAAGTTGGGCTCCAAGTAATGAAGCATTACCCAGACATGAAAACTTAAGATATTACTAGTTCAAAAGAGCCACTCGAGCTTCCCTTACTAATTCAGAAGACACTGGTAATGGTGACTTGGGCTGTTTCTATGCAGTTACTGGACACAGAGTGTGTCTGATTCAAGGACAGCTATACCTGATCTGTCTAGCATTCCCATTCATCTGTACAAAAGTCATGATTAGAAATCAGCACTCTTTGCTCATAGAAGCTCAGTTACGCTGTAAATGCAGTGCAAGTAATGAATCTAGAGTCAATGACGACTCAGACAAATGATGCTGATTGATGCCATCAGAACCACAAAAACACTTCACAAAAATATTCAAACAAAGAAAATACAGTCATCTAGCAATGTTTCTTCCCCTTTACCGTACACAATACTGATGAGCAATCTCTCTATAGGTTCTAGATTTTGCTATATTTTTATATTAGCCGTCAATCACTCCCTTTTTACTGCGCTCTACCTCTGGTGCCGTCTCCGTAGTGGGCGCCCTGATTTTAGTCGGTGAGGCAAGGTACTGCCCTGGGAAGGTCTCCCAGGCTGTTAAATACACAGATTAAAAGTGAAATGTTTTGATTTCGGTTCTTAGCAAAATATATTTTTTTTTTCGTTCAGGTTATGCAGAGCGAAATAAGAACGGTGCTGCATGTAGAAAGAATTCTTATTAACTTTGCTATTATTCTTGAATTTTCAAACTGGTAACACTTTGCAGTTTCAAATTAAGCCTTTACTGTATGACCAAAAATGATGGAGTAGTCTATTTGATGTTTCAGCTGTTTGATCGCGCCGGCGCCTCACGCGCACACTAAGCTACCGCATTCATTGGAAACAGCCAGCCGTTCACAATGCCGTTCGGCGTGAGACCCGCTCCACTGTGGCATATTTTTGCTCATTAATGATATTTTTCCGTCGATACTGGAACGTGCGTTGGCATATTTTTGCTCATTATGATATTTTTCCGTCGATACTGGAACGCGCGTTAACTACAAAGCCTATTTTACCTAATAAGGCTAATAGTTTAGCTTCAGCTACATCCCGAATATGGACACATTTGGATTTGTGCCTAGGGTTGCCAGCTTCAGAAAAGGAAAATAAGTGTAGCAAATCAGCTCACGGGGAAATATGAATAATTAATCATAACTAGTTAT